TTGAATATACCTCCTGGTGGGTTGAAATCTGAATTTATTTGGTGACCAATTTTCCGGAGCTGGTGTGCCAAGATGAACCCACTTGAAAACTGTGGGCTCTCGGACTTGGCTGCAAGACCCGTCCAGCTGAGGTGGGCTGGCCCAGCATCTGCTGCCTTCATTGTGCTTAATGCTGGATCCATCTGTTTTCTGTCAGAGCTAGTGCCAACAAATTACTAATCTATTAGAGAAACATGGAAATAAGATTGCACTTCTCATTCCTGGCTTTTCCTCTCATATTTTGCTTGGCTTACATATTTGGTTTTTGTTTATTTGGGGGAGAAAGATACGTAATCGAGTAGGCAAAGGGGGGAGGCATTAATCATTTTTCACTCCTTCCACACTTTTTAAAAGACTATGGGGAAAGATCATCAATTATCCATGTTGTTGATAGTAGTATGATTGTTGATGATGACGGTGGCAGCTATCGTTTATTGGGGGACTCTGTGCTCGGCACTCTACTAGTCCCTTTGTACCAGGTCCCCATTACCGTCCTTACTTTACTGATGGCAAAACTGATGTTCAGATAGGTTAAATAACTTATCCAAGGTCATGCCGCTATTCAGACCCCAATTCTAGAGCCTGTGCTTTGTTCATCGCTGCCTCTTAAGCCATTTAAAGCCTTTAGAAAGCATTTTTATACAGGCATGTGAGTTTAATGAGGAAAGTCTTTAGCACTTCAAGGAGAAGAAAAGGGGACTTTGTGTTTCTTCTCCCAAACAGAGGCCTCTATAATTAGAACATATTCCCTTGACGTGTGCTTTTGAGCGCCAGTTCATGGAATCCACCCAGCTGATGGAGGAAAATGAGACTGGGAGCCCAGCACTCAGCGGGCCTCCCTAAGCACAAGTGTGTGCGTGCGCGCACGGGTGTGCCTGGTGATGGTGCTCTTCCACGGGCCCCGCCCGCCCGCTGTCGGGAGACCAGCTGCGGAGTTGAGCCAAGCCACTGAACCACCCCTCTTCCTCTTAGCATGCACCAGGAATGAGAAGGAGGAAGTAGGGTCCAGGGTTACCGACCATCTCGGTCATTTCTTTCCTTTGTGTTCCTTAAACACAAAGAGGCTGACTGCCAGTGGTACCCAAAGTGCAAGAGCCCGGGGTGACAGAGTTTCTCTCTTCCGACCGTAAGCAGAGTTCAACAAAATCAGGAACTTTCTTCTCTTACAAAACTGCATTGTGGCCCTCGTCTGCCATAACCATGTCTAAACGCTTGTTTTCTGAAACAAGATTAAAGTGTTATTTCATTTCCTTCGAAAGCAAAGCGTACATATGTTTTCACTGAATCAGGTTTCTTCCCAAATGAGTCACTTACCAAGTGCTGGGGGAGGACGGGAGCTAGTAATCGAATGAATATGTGAATTAATTTCATTTGCATTCGAACTGTGAATGAGTTTATTTATTTTTAATAAAAGCAAGTGCCAAAAAAGGGCACTGTGTTCCCTGATGCTATCAGACTCTGGCAGCGAGGGCGTGTGAGGTCAGCGAGGATGGAGAGGAGAAGCCTTAAGTCTGCCCGCAGAGAAGTGTTCTGAGGATTGTGCTCCCGAGAAGGCGTGGGAAGAGGCAGGCCAGCAGCCTGCCCACCACGCCGTGTCCCTCACAAGCCGGGGAAGCATAAGGTGCCCTTTCCACCGCGATGGTGGGACAGGAAGACAGACGGGGACCTTATGTGGGGGCCTGTGGGGTGGGAGGTTCCAAAACAACAGAAGAACTTTTTATAAAGAACTTTAAAATTGATGAACAGTGAATGTCTTACCTTTTACTTGGAAACAGTGTCCGTTCGATTATTTCCGCAAAGGCAGAGTATTTTCTTAGGAAAAGGTGGTTTAAATTCGAGGAGCTGGCCATAAAAGACTGACTCACGTGGACCTGCGTGGTACCTGAGGTCATTGGTATCACACCTCTCCTGTTCCTTCTAGTCTGTTTTATTTTCCTCTCCATTTCCAGTTCCTGAAATTGCTAGTGCCTCACTCTGTTGTCATTCCCCTTTAGGCTTTCTTTAGCCTTCCAGAAGACATTCAGGGTCAAAGAGTGCTGGTTGTCACAAGTCCCTTTCTGCGCTGGTGGAGCACTATATTAGTTGGTCCTAAGGTTGGTCTGTAGCAGGGGCCAGCAGATAATGGCCCACTTTGTCCCACCACCTGTGTTTGTAAATAAAGTTTTATTGAACACAGGCACTCTCATTTGTGTATGGAGTGCCTTCGGCCACGTCAGGGCCATAGTGACATTGTAGTTGAGACCATCTGGCCCATATAGCCTAAAATATTCACTGTCCAGCCCTTTACAGAAAGTGTGCCGGCCCATGGTTCGTGTGAATGGTGACCTTCCTACCATCTGCAATAAAGAACACACTTCATGGACACCCGAATAAGAAAGCTCATGTAATGCACCTAACAGAGAGCAAGTACCCAGTCCTTGTTGAAAAGTCCACAGATCTTATAGATTTAGGTGATGCAGCTTTACATGTGTGGACTTAAAAAAACCTGGTTTTACAGTAGTGATGATATGTCACATAAGTACGGTTTTTCCTTAAGCATTTGAGAGACCACACGGTAGCGTCCTGTGCTTGGACTCTGAACACACAGATTACCTGAACGCGAACCGTGCCTTCTCTGCTTAGTAGGCACATGACCTTGAGACAAGCTCCTTAACATCCTGTGCCTCAGGTTTCTCATCTCTAGAATTAGGATTGCCATAACAGAGGTCTCTTAGGCTTGATACAAGGATTAAATGAGTTCATACAAAGAATTTGGAATTGAGCTTAGCACATAGTAAATATTAAGTATTTGCTTTTATTATTGTTACTCATCAAATCCAATTTCTGCTGGAAAACCTGGAGAAACTCCTCCTTATCTTCAAAATAAACCCTACACTTGGCGGCCTGGAACACAAGGCCATGTTGAACCTGACCTCTCCCCCCAACCCCCACGAAGAGGGATCCATCCTGAGTTTGTCTGCTCTCTGGCTGGCTGGGGCATGTGTGCTGTCCTCTCCTCTGCCTTACTCACCACCCAGATACCTACCCCCTACCATTTTCATGCGTCTGTTTGCAATACTTTACAAATATAATGTCCTTTAACCCTAGCAACTCCTCAAGTAGACGGTATTAGAGAGGATTATCTTTGTTTTGTGGAGAAGAGGGTGAAACCAAGAAAGAGGAGAACAAGTTAAGATCTTGTAGACACTTATGTGCAGAGCCTTCACTCGGCGCCAGCTCTCTGTGTCCCAGGGCCTGGCCACCCACAGGCTCCTGAGGTCACAGCCCAGCAAAGAAATCTTCCCTGAATTCCCCTACCGCACTGACCCCTGCCCCCCCCAAGCAGACTATTCTTGCGCTTTTCTTGCTTTTATACTTTTTCTTGTCTTATCCCTTCTACTCCACCTCATACACACCACACACACACCCCCACACACCCCTACACCACCCCCCCCACACACACACACGGTGAGCTTCTTGAGTGTTGCACTGTATTTAACTTTATATCCCCTAGAATGGTTATGTTGTTTTGACAAGGAGATTCTTCCAGAAAGCGGTAAGGATTGATTGAGAAACACTAATCCATATTCTGCCAATGCTTTTTTTTTTTTAAAGATTTTATTTATTTATTTGAGAGAGAGAATGAGAGAGCGCACACATGAGAGAGGGGAGGGTCAGAGGGAGAAGCAGACTCCCCGCCAAGCAGGGAACCCGATGCGGGACTCGATCCCGGGACTCCAGGATCATGACCTGAGCCGAAGGCAGTTGCTTAACCAACTGAGCCACCCAGGTGCCCACCGCCAGTGCTTTTTACATTCATTTTATTTCAGAAATCATTTGTGGGAAGGCAGCATATTTTATTGGTTAATTACATGGGTCCCAGAATCCTTTTGCTTGAGCTTGAATCCTAACTTACTAGCTGTTGATTTTCTTCGTTTGTAAATGGAATCGTTGTCATTTATATGTATTTCATATGGTTATCGGAGAAATGAATGAAATCATTTGACACAAAGCACTTAACCCCATGTGTCATGCATAGTGTGGTTTGGCAGTAACTATCTGCAATCGTTATTATTATTGGAATGACATCACATATGCCTTTAACTGACTTGAATTTAACCTGTGTATACTCAGTCAAAATAAAAGGTGTGGAAGGAGAGAGAAGACAAAACTACTGAAGCAGCTGAGGCCCTCGAAGCTCCCGTTCTCCTCAGTGTGTTCCCCGGTGTGAACGGGGGCTGGAGGCGTGCTCATGGCCCTTCACTTCTTCCTCACGCCCTGCCTGCTCCCCACAGAGTCACCATCTCACCGTGCTGAATGTCAGGGTAGTGCTTGAAACCACATTTTATAAGACATGGCACCAAGCACAAACTAGCTGCTTTCTCTGGTGCTCAGGGAAAAAACAAACAAAACAAACACACGAACAAACAAAACTTGCTCCCAACACGAGAGAAAAACAGGTTGTTTGGCCGGACTATTGCTGAGCACCCACACGACACCTCCCATGGGGTTTTGGAGGATAATTTTGACCGTATGTGCACCTTGTCTTAAGTGTCCTCTTTCTGAGAGCCCTTTGTCAGAACTGTCGGACACAGTGGTGATGTAGTGATGCGATCTCGGTGGTGTGTTCCTAAGGACTAGGGATTGAAATCACTACTTTGAAAGGTAAGCATGTGAGCTCTGCGTGGACTGAGGCGACACTCGGTACTAGCATCCCTTGCTTGTTTCTAGATGGCTTTAATGGTTCGCCTAAATGTCCCCTCCATCTCTCAGTGGTCCCGTGTGGCTCTTTGCCTTTGGAATGGGCCGAGAGCATGTGTTGACCCTGCCAGCCTCATCCGTGCCAACAGGGGAAGGGTTAATAAGGATAATGACGGCCATTCTGTGTTGACCACATTGTTGGACAAGAAGCCTTTCCAGTGAATGTTCTCACCAGTCCAGATAAAGTAAAAGGCTTTAATTTGTGTTTGCTTTTTGTTTAGGTAACTACTCCAGACCCCCAACGTATAGCGGGGTGCCCAGTGCAAGCTACAGCGGCCCAGGGCCCGGCATGGGCATCAATGCCAACAACCAGATGCATGGACAAGGGCCAAGCCAGCCATGTGGTGCTATGCCCCTGGGACGAATGCCATCAGCTGGGATGCAGAACAGACCATTTCCTGGAAATATGAGCAGCATGACCCCCAGCTCTCCCGGCATGTCTCAGCAGGGAGGGCCAGGCATGGGGCCACCGATGCCAACCGTGAACCGTAAGGCACAGGAGGCAGCCGCCGCAGTGATGCAGGCCGCTGCAAACTCGGCACAGAGCAGGTATGCCGTCGGGGCAGGCGGTCTGCGTGTGCACCTGTGGGCGCGGGTCACGCACAGAGCTGCGCCGTCGCCTGGGTCACCCGGGCTGGGGAGCGGTGCAGTGTTGTTCAGCTTGGCCGTTCCTTTGGTGTTAACACATGCTGTCCCATAAAGTACAGAGAAGTAAATGGCAGACCACGTTCTCTGAGACATCGAGGAAGGAACCCGAGTGGTGGGCGAGTCCCTTGTGGGAGCTTATTTGGAATGACTGTGACTAGTCATTATAACCAGCGCCCCAGGGCAGTGGCATATCTGGGTGGTTCCGGTTAGAGGAGCAAGGTTTAGGCTGGAAAAGTCTAAAGCCAAAAAAGTAGGCTTTTAAAATCTAACCCACTGAAAAAGAACCACCTTCCTTTTTGTTTTTTAACCCCACCATAAAAATCCTTATAAAATAGAAACTTTGTCTATGCACATATTTGTGTTGTGTGTGTTTGTCTAAATGTTTCTGTGTGAGATTTACAGATTTCATATTCTTATGTTATATTTTATTTTTCTGGGCATACCTCTCTATCTTTCCAAACCAAAATATGGCTAATAAAGCAAAGCTAATATTTCATAAAGTTTTAAGTTGATAGAGCAAGGCTTTAGCCTCAGTTACGTACTTGTTTTTCATCTTGATTTTTTAAATTCTTGAAGTAAACATTGAACCTGCATAAAAATAACATAATTAAAAATTTATGAGACAGAAGCGAATAGTTCTAAGAGAAGCATTTATAGATATGTTTCATGTGTAACATATGTTAAAATATGTTTTAAAACAAAGCACATTGAAAGCTATGTATGAAGATATGTTGTCTTCAGAAGAAAAGATAGAAGAATCTGATTTTTGTCAAAGGGAAAGAAAAATTGTGTGTGTATGTGTATGTGTGCGTGTGTGTTTAAATGTGTCCCTTTGTTACTTTTCCTCTGAAGCTGCTATTTGGGGAATGTTAGGGACCCCTCCAGTCTCACCGTTTGCTCCAAATAATAATAAATTTCCCTTGAGGAATCAAAATGAAAGTCAATCATTCTCTCTTTCTCTCTTCCTCATCCACATTACAGTGACTTAAAATCTCCTGAACCCCACCACTATATACACTAAACTGAACCTTAGGGGGTGTTTTAATAAACCTGTCCACGAAGACTGGTTTGCCTGGTCCCGTTGAAGTTCTGAGTTAGGTTTAACACACGCTGTCCCGTAACTCCTAAAGCACCAGCTCTTCTCAGGTAGAAAGTGCCTGATGGCCCTGGACATGAGGCCTCAGACAGTGGCCTGGGAGGAAGATAACCACAGAGACCAAGGCATAGCCGTTCGGTGTAAAAGCCTTCCTCTGCTCCCTTCCCGAATCAGTCAGTGTGGCATTTTATCTAAGTTCGTGCGGAGGTACACATCCATGCCTTGTCATTGTCTGCTTCTGCTCGGCAGGCCGTTCCAGAGCCTTGCCTCCACATCCTGCCCACTGTAGTTCTCGGGGCGTTGTTACTGAGGACTGTGTGTATTTCGGCTTGTACCGAGGTCAGAGGTGCGCGAAGTGCACACCGAGACTAGAATCTGAGAGTCTTACTCGTCTCTCCCCTTTGCCCCGCCCCTCACCCGCCCCCTCTCTTCAGGGAACCACCTCCAGTCCCCCTCTCAGGCAGCTGCATGGTACAGAGGCTGAGGCCACATTCTGTAGCCCTCCACACCTACGTGTGGACAGAACCTAATGCACAGGGGGATTCATACTTGTCTACAGAGCAAATCCAAAGAGGTTGTTCTTCTGTTCTGCTTTAGGCCACCATACATTAGGTCGCCTGCTTATCCCAGCCAGTCTGGGGCTGGGGGACGCCCCATGTTTTCTTCCCAGCACCCCAACTATGGCAACTCTCAGGCTCCCATGATGCACCAGCCTGACCAGTACGGGTAGGTAGCCACATACCCTGACTTGCTGCGGGACCTGGGCATTTTTTTTTTTAAACCGTTAATGACCGTGCCATCTGGCTGCAAAAGGAACACCCAAAACAAGAAAGCAAAACACCTAAGAGGAAATCCATCCCCCAGGGGGTTGTCTTTTTGTTTCTTTTTGTTTGTTTTGGGGTTTTTGTTCGTTTTGTTCTGTTTTGTTTTTCACTCTTCTGAACAGTCCCGTGGTAATGTGGTGGAGCCCTGCATGCCGTCCCCCAGATCCTGTCTTTGCATGGCTTTTGGCATGGCTTCTTTTCCTTCGTGCCTGAGAGGGAAATGCAAACTTTAGCTCCGCCAAAGGGACGAAGTCACCTCCTCTGGCGTGATTTCCCCTGCTGTCCTCGTGTTGTCTGGGAACTTGTGTCGTACGGCCCTGTTACCATGACTGTGTTGTCGTCATTCCTGCCACTACGATGACCCGCTCCCACACACCCCCCCCCAAATTCTGAGTGCAGTGACCTCATTTGACAGGAGACTCACTGCAGGAGACATGACTCAGGTTATTAATAGGACTTAAGAGGGGTTTCATTATATCATCACTGAGCAGACGTCTGTGCCAAAGATTTCTGTTATTTCCTTCTCCCAAGGAGTTTTAGAATATTGAAGTCACCAGAAAAATGCAACCAAATCCTCCAACACAGAATTTGCCTTCTAAACGTGGTGTTGCCATATTATTATCAGTTTCAACACAGGAATTACATATAGCAACAAAAAGTGTCTTCTTTCCTACTACAAAGCTTTATAATAGCAGGCTGTCACCATTTTTAGGTTAGTAAATGCTCTTACAGCATATTATTATTGAGCAATTTTTAGCAAAAATATTGATACTGCTTTGCATATCATAACGATAAGATTATCCTACATAGATTGAATCCTGTTCAGCAGTTTCAGCAGGAATACGCCACATTTTTGGTTAGGATAAAACAGGGAACAGTCACCTGGCTTTGTTTAAAGACTAAACGTATAGAACGATGCTTTTACGACTTGTTATGAATACGTAACACAGAGAGCCTTCCACTAGTTTTATGTTCGGGATACATTTATTTAGACAGCAAGAGCAAATGATAATTTTGCAGTCGAGAGTTCTAAATCCTGTAAACATGGTCCTAAATGTGGGCCAACAAATATAGAATTTTGTAAACATAATCCTAAAAGTGAAATAACAAATGTAGAATTAGGTAAACATATTTCTTTTGGGAAATTGTCTTTTCCTCTTTGTCCTTTCTTGTGGTACCTTCAAGGTCAGTCCGTGAGTCAGTAGGAAAATAACAGTGAGGGGAGAAAAGCATTTATCATCAGCTGCTAATCCATAGGATCTGTCCTTACCAACTCTGGAGTCCTATTTAGACCCACAAAGCTAGTTTGGCTGTGCCTTGCCAAGCCACATTAAGCAGCTGTGTAAAATGAATTTAAATGGCATGCATCAGAGTAAAATCTCTTCCACTGGGGCAGAAAATCAGTGTTAGCTAACTAGCACAAGAAGATCAAATCTGCGTTTCAACCAGCAGCATCCACATAGCTTCCTTAGAACACAACACCTCCTCCTTAATTAAAAATAAGAACAAGAAAGATGTTGGAGTTATTCTTTGTAAATCTCGTAAAGCACACTTGGCAAAGGTTCATCTTTGCGGCCCCTTCCCTGTGACCTCTGAATTTTGCCTTTTTATGTCTACAGCATTCTTTCTAAAAAAGAAAGAAAAGAAAGTTTTATTTCTATTTTAAATCCTCCTTCCTTTGCCCTTTGCAGTCCACATAACCTGTTGTGCCTTTTTTTTTTTTTTTAAAGCAGAAGCTTGAGTGTGAGAAAACATGTGTAGTACATGTTTTAGTGCTCTGGGTTAAGAAATTTGGTTTTCAACATGCTTTTGCTCTACCTAACGCCTCCTTGCAGCAAACTTGTGTTCTTGCTTTTGTTTCTGTTTTCTTCCCCCATTGATAGCCGTGTTGTGTGGAAGGCAGGTTGGTAGTTTGAAAAACCCGCTTGCTGAATGTCGGTTTCTCTTGTGGGGAAGTGGCTCAGCCTTGCAGAAACAGTCTTCACAGAGTTTGTTAAAATGCCTTCTTTCTCAAGTCAGAATCCCACAGGGCCCAGAGCCTCTGAAAGAACCTGAAAAAGACAAATTAATGACAAAGGTAGTGAGTGCGTGTGCGTGTGCGTGTGCGTGTGCAATTAGACAGAAACAGAGCTCACTGGGAAAAATGACAGATTATGGCAGATATGCTCCAGGCTTTTGCAGCTGTTGCATGGAAGATGGTACAGAAGGCACACGGGTTTGACTGGTTGGAAGCCCTTTCACTAATTCCCTTTTTAAGGGCGGCTCGACCAGGGTGAAACCCACCTGCTGCACTGAGTCGGTTAAGGAACGTGTAGAGGAATTCTTTTTTTTTTCCTTTCTTTTTCACCTTTTGAATAAAGGAGTTCCTTGTTTTGATTATCAGAGAATTTACAGTAGAATATGGTGAATCTTACTGTTGAGTACTAGATTAGCTCAGTAATAATGTCTGATCATTTGGAATTAATAATTTATAGTATTTGTCCAGGACACCACACCCCACCATATGCACTGATACACTTTTTACTCAGAAAATGCATTGCTGGGTTTAGTTTTGTTTTATTTTTTTAAAAGATTTTATTTATTTATTTATTTATTTGAGAGAGCGAGCACGAGTGGGGGGAGGAGCCAGAGGGAGAAGCAGACTTCCCGCTGAGCAGGGAGCCCGACTCGGGGCTCCATCCCAGGACCCCGGGATCGTAACCTGAGCTGAAGGCAGATGCTTAACCAACCGAGCCACCCAGGTGCCCCTGCTCTGTTTAGTTTTAAGGCATTTCTAGTTAAGGTGGTGCTCTTTTGAAGTACTGAGAAATAGAGAAGCAGAAATATCAGATGATCTTATGAAAAGCTAAGTTCAGGGATGGCAGGGGACTGTCACCCTCAGTCCAGTACTGATGGCTGTGTCTAGCACCCATGTTGAAGGGAGCTGAGACATTGTCTGCAGAGGAGAGCCAGAGCTGGCCAGAAGTTTAGGAGGGACTTCG